TGCCAGCTAGGCTACAGGTCCCAAATTTGGTAAAATAGGAGCAATTTTGGTGATATAACACCAAATATGCATGTTTACGACTCTTCTCCTGCACTTTCTCAGTAAAACCTCTCAAGAGCCCTTTGACATAAAGCCATTATGGAATTCTTATTCTTAGTCTCACTCGATAGATAAGGATGCAAAGTCCAGTTGAATTAAAAGCCTTTGGTTGGAGTCAGGTAGAACTGGTTTGAAAACCTTCACCTCTACCACTCACTAGCTGTGTGACCTTGAGTAAGACACTTAACCTCCCTGAGCCTGTTTCTTCATCTGTAAAGCAGGGATAATTATAAAGTAGGACCTAACATTTGTTGAGTGTTTATTAAATGCCAGGACTGTCCAAAGTACATTACATGGATTCATTCAGATTTTCACAATAACTATATGTGGTAAGTAAAATCATCCCACATTTTACAGACAGGAAACTGAGAGGTTAAGTAACTTGTCCAAGTTTACACAGATTGGAGATATAAAGCCACAATGGGAACTGAGGAATAGTATCACCTCACAGCATTACATGAGAGTTAAATAATCTATTATGATGAAATACGGAGAAGAAATATATGACAAGATAGCACAAAGGATGGGAGGGGATATAAATGGAATTATACTGTGATAAGGTTCTTACATTATACACGAAATGGTATCATAATAACTCAGGGTAGACTGTGATAAATTAAGAATGCATATTGTAATCCCTGGAACAACCACTAAAAATAAATTACAGAAGTATATCATATCATAACACACCATCATATTATAAAAAGCTAAAGGAAGAAATAAAAAGAAATAATAAAAATACTTATTTAATCCAAAAGAAAGCAGGAAATGAAGAACAAAGGAACAAAAAATAAATAGAACAAACAGAAAACAAATAGCAAGGTGGTAGTCTTAAACCTAACCGTATCAGTAATTACTAAATTGGGCTAAGCACTATAAAAGCAAAGAACATCAGACTGGATAAAAAAGCGATACCCAATTATATACTGCTTAAAGAGACATCCTTTAAATATAAAGACAGACAAATTGGACATGCTGAAAGCAGAAAGGATAAAAAAGTTGGCATGGTTAATACCAAAGCAGACTTCAAGGATTAACAGAAAGGATTAAGAGAAAAAAAGACAGATTCATCAGGAGCACATAATGCTACTAAATGAGTGTGGATCTAAAAATAGAGCTTCAAAATACATGAAGCAAAAATGGACAAAACTAGACGGACAAAAGCCGAGCCACGATTACACTTGGACATTACTCTTTGTAATCTCTGTAATCTTTTGTAATCTTTGTAATTGATAGAAAATACAGACCAAAAAAATCAATAAGGGTATGGAAGATTTGAACAACATTATCAACCAACTAGATCTGACATTTATCGGGCCCTACATGCAATAACTGCAAAATACACATTCTTTTGAGGGCAAATGGAGCATTCATCAAGATAGTTCCTATATTGAGATAGGTCACAAAACAAGTTTCAGTAAATTTCACTACAATAATCTAGTACAAATAATTATTAAAATGAAGGTGAGTGTTAGCTATTTATTTCATAATCTATAGTTCTATAAATTTTCCTACTCTGACATGAGAAATTTTCTAGCACCTTCTTCCCAGTCTGGCAATATTATTTGCTTATTAGGTTTTCAGAGATCTTACTAATATTAAGACCCAGATCTTTAATCCCCTAAACAGCTGAGTTATTTAAATAGAAATTGCAAAAGATGATAAGAACTTGCTTGAACTTGCTCTCCCTTTTCCTGGGTTCTGAAGTTCTCTATTCTCAGAGAATGCAATCTTCCACCTGAAGCTTGACACCACATGCTTTAGACTCCAGCACATCTGTTGCTTAAGATTTTCTAAAATAATCTCTGTTGCCACTGAGGACAATGAACTTCTGCAAAAGAGAATCTGTCAATCAGAGATCCTCTCTTTAGAACCCCCGTTACTCGGCTCATTTCTGTAGTTGAGGGAAACACTGATGTCCACCCATACAAAGATGTTCTGTGTGTCTGTGTATTGGGTCCAAATGTCTCAAGAAGCAGCACTTAAGCCTTAAATAAGAAAGCTTTGAAAATACAATATAGCACAAGCTCCTAAACTGGGGTCGTTGGTCTTACTGGGAGAGTTTGTCCGAAAATGTGTGCTGACGGCATTTTCCTGGGGAGAGAACTCAGAGCTTTCATCAGATTCTCGAGGAATAGGAATTTTGACCTCTAAAATGCTGAAACAATAATGCATCATCTTTTCAAGTTGCTGAAAGCATGTTTACCTTAGCCCTACAAAGGACTCAAAATCGCATTTCTATCTTCTCATATACAAGATAGAGTTGTGTCAAAAACTGTCACTGGTTTCACTAAAGAAATTCTTTTTTTAATTTTTTTCTTTTATTGCAGTAACTTTGGTTTATAACATATAAATTTCAGGTGTACATCGTTATATTTCAATTTCTGTGTAAATTACATCACGTTCATACCCAAAGACTAACTACAATCCATCACCACACACATTCCTAATCACCCCTTTTGCCTGCCCTTGTCCCTCCCCGCTACCCCTCTGGTAACCACCAATCCAGTCTCTGTCTCTATGTGTTTATTGTTTTTATCTTCTACTTATGAGTGAGCTCATACAGTATTTGACTTTGTCCCTCTGACTTATTTCACTCAGCGTAATATCCTCAAGGTCTATTCATGTGGTCACAAATGGCCGTATTTCACCATTCCTTATGGCTGAGTAGTATTCCCTTGTGTATATATTCCACATCTTCTTTATCCGTTCATCCCTCGATGGGCACCTAGGTTGCTTCCAAGTCTTGACTATTGTGAATAATGCTACAATGAACATAGGGGTGCATGTATCTTCACTAAAGAAATTCTAAGCAGCAAACCCAGCTTCCACTCAACTCTTTTTCAGGGTCCACTTCTTAACATCTTGCAGAATAAAACTCTGGAAACACTGGTTGGGGAAATGCTGGTTTAGAAAGTTCACTTATTTTTCCATTCATTTCAAATATACACCAAGCCTGTAAGAATCTGCTGGGCACGATGGAGACTACCACTGAGAATGAGAATCCTGCTCTAATGGAACCCAATCTGCAGACACAGGGCTCCAGCACGGCTGTGGACGGTGTGAGCATGAAGCTAGCTGGGCCCAAATCTGGATGAAGCCCAGCCTATCTCTCACTAGCAATTGGACCTTTGGGAAAATCATGAAATGCCTTTGAGGCTGAGTTTAGATTCCTCATCTGTGAAATGGGGCTAGGCAGGTAACTATTATCATACATGATTTTTAGAGTCTTCTGAAAAAAATTATTTTTTTCTTTTGCCTCGATTGCCTTGTATCCTTTTATTCTTTTGCCTTGCCTTGGTTGATCTAGACCCTTCCTCCTTCCTCTCTAACTTTGCCTCTTGGGGCTCAGGCTCATTTTTCTCCAGCCCCCCTAGCTTTCTTTTGATGCTTTGAATAAAACAAACTCATCTCCATCTATTCTAAGGCTTCTTGCCCCTGTTGTTTCCTCTGCTAGGAGGTGCTTTGCTGGATCTTTGCCTCTCTGCTTTTCTTTTGTGCACTCTTTCTGACCTTTGGATTTTAGCTCACACACGTTCCCTCCTCAGAGAATTTTCATGACTGTTCACCATGACTACAAACTCTCTATCACTTTCTCTTACTGTTTTCTCAGTACTTATCAATATCTAATACTTCTCTAGTCTGTTTTTTAAAAATCTTTTCTCCTCATTAGAACTTGTTCAGGGTCTGGACACAGGACAGTGTCCAGCAAAAGAAAGAGCTCAGTAATAAATATTTGTTGAATGAACCAAATGAAATAAAGTGCTAAGACAAGGGCGTAGACATAGGGATGGTACAGATGAAAAGCTCATCAACATTAGCCATTACAATTTTACACACTTGTTACTACAATATTTACATTTCAGAAGAGGAGATATGTGTTCATATTTGCATAACAAATTGGGTCTAAAAAGTAGTTGGTCTAGAACAATAGTCCCATATCAAGGGTGAGCTCAGATTCCAACAATGCAAAACAGAAAATCTCTCTCCCCACCCACAAGGCTTACAAAAAATTCTTAGGTGGTTTCTCTGCCTGCCACCCCTCCGGCTAAATGTGACATCTATTAAAATGGCAAAAGGTTACAGTTAGGTAAAGGTGATGCAGACACGTGTTTCAGAGGGAAAGATCATTTCCACCTGGTGCCTGTGGATGCTAGATTGGACTCTGATGGACAGGTAAGATGGAATGGGTAAATGGGCAGATGGATAGACTGGGAGGGAAACATTATAGGTGGAGGGAGCACCGCATAATTTCCATCAGAACCATCCCAAATAATCCTTCAAGTTAAATAAGAGGATGAGAGCTGCTCTGCAAGTGCAGCAGCTTCAAGCATGTCCAATTAGATCACCACCCATAAGTCTCTTCTAACTGTTTCGGAGCCTCTACTGGATCCAGGTGTGGAGAGAAGATTGTAGCATGGATTTGGTTTCCTCCTCTTAAAGGAATGGTGAGAAATAAGGCTGGAATGAAGAACCTGGAATGCCAGAGCAACAGCCTAAACCTTTAAGACCTCTAAGTAAGGTGATGGGTGAACGGCAGTATGAGTAAAGTAAGGTTTGGGAGGAAAGAGACCAATCTGGGGAGGCGAGAGTGAAGGCTGTTAATAGTCCAGGCAAGAAAGGCAATATAGGGTCCTGAATCAAGCAAGAAGTAATAGGAGTAAAAAAAGTAGAATGGACACGAGTTGTGCAGGTCAGAGGTTTCCAGTGGGGCTGTGCAGAACAGAGGAGTTGCAAGTTATGCTGGGTGGGGGTTTCATGGGTTTCTTCTAATGCTTTTGGCCCATAGGATACAAACTGTTCTGTACCTCTTCAAAATAATAGCCCCTGGTGTCTACTGTCTCTTTCATGAAACAGAAATTATGAAGGCACTGTATCTTTTAAAAAAAATCCCCTTTTGTAGCACTTCCTTAAAAACAGCTATTTAATGCAACTCTGCCAGTGAGTTCTTGACAGTTCTGTCCTAACGATTCTGATATTAATGAAACATCTTTGCAAAGGGTTGAAGTGTCTTCCTGGTAAGTGTTTAGCATATGTTTTTCAAAATACCTTATAATAACTGTTAATTTTCTCCTTTGGCCTAATGAGTGTTTCTCATTAACTGCTTATTCCGATACAAGAAATATTAAACAATTGAAGTGATCAATAATGTTTTCAAGCTTTTTTTACCCCTTTGGGTTTGCTACTTTTGAGAGTTGTGGTAGTTTTGTGGGGTATTTTAGATAAAGAAAATAGCCTCATTTAAGTATTTAATCCAAAGTACAACACTCATGTATTTGTTTTGGTGCCTATGAGTCAAGGCATAATTGATTGAAAGTCATTGACATGGCTATTTAAAAAATATGTATACTGATAATATTCATTAGGGACTATAAACCAGTAATTTACGGATTTTTTTTTAAGTTGTTGCTAAATTGTTCAACATCTCCTACATGGGAAACTGTATATTTTTTTAGTTATTTTCCAGCTTTATTGAGATATAATTGACATATAATTTGTGTAAGTTTAAGGTGTGGACATGATGACTTGACATACATATATTGCAAAATGATTACCACAATAAGATTAGTTAACATATCCATTACCTCACATAGTTACCTTTTTTTAATGGGTTTTTCTTTTCATATTCTCTTTTAACTGATGTGATATAGTGATTTCGAAGAGCAAACTAGAATTTCGATGTCTGACATGTTATATTGATGTATTATGGATATATATAATAATAACATTAGATTATATTATCTCATTGTATTATGCCGTGTTAAATATTAAGGAGTAAGCTCATTGTGTTTGCAGGATAAACGTTCAAAACTCATATAAACAGAGTTGCTTGGTGTGTTTAAATGAAATGATAAGCAATGTTGGACCCATCACAGGCTCTTTCTTATGTCGATTTGGGGTTTTTTTGTGTGTAGTTCTATAAAACAGTTAAAAAACATTTGGTGTGGGTCTGTGTGATAATCGTTTATTTAAAACAAAATCTAAATTACTTACAGAGATTAAAAAAAGTAGATAATGTAAAAAACTATAGACCAGGGTTCTTTTCTTTTTAATGTTCTTTTAAAAAAAACGTTTATTTTTCCTTTTTCTCCCAAAGCCCCCTGGTACATAGTTGTGTATTTTTAGTTGTGGGTCCTTCTAGTTGTGGCATGTGGGATGCCGCCTCAGCGGTGCCATGTCTGCGCCTAGGATCGGAACTGATGAAACCCTGGGCCGCCGAAGCAGAGCGCACGAACTTAACAACTCGGCCACAGGGCCGGCCCCTAGACCAGGGTTCTTAAGGCAAGCTTTTAGAAACTCCACAGATGGGTTTAATAGGGTACATTTTATTTGTAACGTAAATCTACATTTCGGGAGGGAAAAAGCATATCTTTCATCGGATTCTCAGAAGGCTCTTTGACACCTGAAAAGCTAAAAAAAAGAAATCACTGTTATAAATAGAGAGCTATGCTGAGGTAAAAAAGATTTTGTTTTTCAGAATTTTAAAATACTTCAATACTAAAAACATTTTGAAATACTTAAATATACTCCTGTGCTAGTTCCATAGATTAAGCAGTTTAGGTAATTAACTCCATTTTAACTTTTAAAAGCGTTGTAATGAGAGAAAAGCAAAAATAAACTTTTTAAGAAAGAAAATTTGCCTTTGCCCAAGAAAATTCAGGTGGTGCTTTTGGTTTTTATATTTTCTGAAAATAATTTTTGAGTAAGATATTTTAATTCAGAGGCAAGTTAAATAGAGACACTATTTAATTTTGTTTTTAAAACATTAATCTTTTTCAGAACTGTCAATTTATTAATGAAGCATGGTAAGTTGGCATTTCAAAATCTTCACTCTTCCTCCATTTTGAAAATAAAATATACGGATCATATTAATAAGGGTATGAAATGGTTTGCAAAACAGTTCAATTTTAGGTCTTGGAGACACGCTTTGGAAATTAAGAGCATTTCATTTTTAAGTAACAATTCAGATTCTGTTTGATTAAAGATATTTCCTTGATCCTTTTTCCAGATCAGTCTCCAACTATACAACTACTTGCTAAAATTTTGCAAGAATGTTCAATACTATACTATAGAATGTATACTGCTCTCTAAATACTATATTACGTGGCAATGGATCTCAACCAGGGTTGGTTTTGTCCCCCAGGGTATATTTGGCAATGTCTGAGACATTTTTGATCGTCACAACTGTGGGAGTGCTACTAGCATCTCATGGATAGAGGCCGGGGAAGCTACTAAGTATCCTACAATGCACAGGACAGCCCCCCAAAAGAGACTTAGCCAACCTAAAAATGTCAATAGTGCCATGATTAGGAAACCCTTCTTTATATCAGAAAAATTAAGTTCAATTGGTAATTTCATAACTCCAGAGTTCTGCCATTGTTCTAACAGGCTTGTGTTGAACAAGACAAGCTGGGACAAGCATTTGAGGATGCTTTTGAGGTACTGAGGCAACATTCAACTGGAGATCTTCAGTACCCCCCAGGTAAAGATGTCAGTCCCTTTCTTCCTCTGGTACATCAGATGGCTTGTTGGTCACATAAACATGTAAGAATAATGACCAGAACAGAGAAGACCATCTTTGCCCAATACATCTAGAATTGATTCTAATGAAGGCAAAAAGCATGCAGGGTTACCCAGCATAAATAAATTTAAAGTATCACATGTAAAAATTCAGAGGATGTAGAGAATGACATTCCGCACAGAAATACGAATCCATATAATTATTTGCTATTAAGCATATCAGATTGATATTTATCTAATAGATAATTTTAACTGTTCAGAAATGGCTTTTCAATTATTATAATTTATTTTACAGACCTTCCTCCCATCCAAGAGATATTCTACATGGAACAATAAATATTCTTCTTCCTCACCCATTTCCCTACAGACTGTAGAATGGTAGTCTAGGTGCGATCCAGATATTTTCCTATTGAAAATAGGTGTAGGGGGCAGTTGCAAGGTAAAAGAAATCAGGAGATCCCAGCCTCCCTGGAGTTGCTGTAATATATAAAAGAGTTTCCGTAATACCAGTATAATGCAATAAACACCATAGGGAAATGTGGAGTGAGAAGAGAGCATGAGAAGGGAACACGGGGAGGAGCAATTGCAGATATAAATATATATAAGCACACACACACACAAATATAAACTTTGACTTTTTCAGTTTCTTCCTCTTGTTTTTAAATTAGATTACAAAAATTACCTGGCCTTCATCAACCACTGTCATGTCAGAGGGAATTCCAGCTGCTGTGCTGTGCTGCCGGTAGAGGAACCTGTCTATAACTGGAGAACAGTAATAGTGAGTACATGTACCAGGAGACCTTCCCTCAGGAACAGGCAAATTTCACATGTACACCAGCATTCCACTTGGTGTATGCTAGCAGAAACCCAGCTTAAAGACAGCCCTGACTGAGCATGCTTACTCAGGGTCACCAGTGGTATGAATCTGACAGGCAAGGCGGGTGATCATCAGCAATGCCATCAAGAAGGAAACTGCCCTCCATCATTACTCTTCTTCCAGCTACAGACTGGTTTGAATGACTTCTGTAAAGAGGAGGTGTTTTTAGGGTTCTCACACCACTTCTCCTTAGTCCTTCTGGAAAATTGCAGCAAAGTTATTGTTCCCCTAACACCCATAGGGCAAAGGCCCAAACTTCTGTACTGGCTTTACCTACAATTTTGTATTAATCTGCTCTGTTTTCCCTCCGGAGCTCAGAGTCAGCTACATGTATGGGACCAATTCATTTATATTTTAGTAGCCTCCTGCAAAGGAAAGTGTCCCCACCACCTATCTCTCCATTCATGCATTCTTTTACATTGTTTTCTTTGGTGAGGAAGATTGGCCCTGAGCTACCATCTGTTGCCAATCTGCCTCTTTATTTTTTTTCTCCCCAAGCCCCAATGCATAGTTATATATCCTAGTTGTAGGTTATTCTAGTTCTTCTATGTGGGGTGCTGCCACAGCATGGCTTGATGAGCAGTGTGTAGGTCCATGCCCAGGATCTGAACCTTTGAACCCTGGGCCACCAAAGCAGAGTACACAAACTTAACCACTCTGCCACAGGCCAGCCCCTACGTTGTTTTCTTTTTCCTTTTTTCTTTTTTCTTTTTTCCTGCTTTTTTATCCCCACATCCCTCCAGTACATAGTTGTATATTTTAGTTGTAGGTCCTTCTAGTTGTGGCATGTGGGATGCCACCTCAACATGGCCTAATGAGCGGTGCCATGTCCGCGCCCAGGATCTGAACCCTCGGCTGCAGAATTGGAGCACGTGAACTTAACCACTCAGCCAAGGGGCCGCGCCCCCCGCCCCATTATTTTTTTAATGTTTCCATTTTATCATCAGTCTTAATGTAGTGGGGTATAAATATGAAATGGTCTTTCTTTTTCTTTAGTCATTACCTTTAATCATGCCATGTCAAATGTCCTTTTCCTGACCCTGTAAATTGTTCTGTCAGGGCCTCTCCACAAGGCATTTCTTTGAAGAGGGAGTTTTGGTTCAAGCTTAACCTCTTTTGCTTCCACTTAGGGTTGCCAGGTAAAATACAGGATGCCCGATATTTTTAGTCGCTAAATCTGGCAACCTTACTTCCACTTCAACTCCCACCCCGTAGCATACATGGGACAACGTTTTGCCTGCTTGATAGCCCTCTTTTATGAGGTGTAGTAAGATGACACAAGTCCAGTCCCTTCCACTGTGTCTAATTAACCCATAGAGATCCACATATCCTTCCTGTAGGTAGGTAATGGTAGGAGCTCAGGTTGCTTCCTCCTGTCCCCTCTCTTGGCTCTGCCCTCCCTTGGCTGCCATCTTTCTCTTCTTATCTCTTCTTTCCCAGATGGTCATCCAACTCAGGAATGGAAACCCATCTTCCCTTTTTGCTGGCACCTCAGTTTCTACCAATGATTCTTTTGGATCTTTCTTTCTCACTGGGCATTTTTAGGGAGAAGGAAGGAAGCACCCCCCTCTCCTTTCTCATAGGGAAGAGAGGATATGGAACTCCTCACACAGCCAAAGATTACCCTCCATCTCTTGGTCCTCTTTTTATATGGGTTTGATGCTAGTTCTCGGCTGGGATATATCTGGCTGCAGTTGAGGGTAGTGCTTTCTAGAATTTGGGAGATGCTTAGCACTTCTTTTGCCCTTAGCTTTTGACTTTAGCTACCAACTAGGAGGTCACATGGAAAGCCCCACTTAACATCCTGCTTCGTTATTTATATAGAACAGTGCTGCAGACCTCTATTTTGAAGGAAATATTCATCAATCTCTGCAGAACATCCCTGAAAACCAGCTAGTACAACCTGCTGTTCTCCAGCAAAAGGGAGGAAAAGGTATGTGGATTGATCCATCACTCTTTGTATAGGTAAAAGAACCAGCTCTTCCTCAAAGCAGTTTTAGGTGGATTTTATATCTGAGTTTGGAATTGTATTTGCAAAATATTCTCTTATCGTGATTGAGGATAATTTAACTCTGACGGACGGAACCACTTCAAGCTGTTCCTCTTGGGGGAGCCTTCTCATTGCTTCACAGAGATGTTCTGAAGCTGCAAAGTGTCACTTTGCCCAAATAAATCTCTATTCAAGAATGGTGTATACACGTTTTAGGTATAGAAGGGGGAACTTTTCTGTAAGTTATTTTAGCAATCTTATTCGAATTGTGAAGGCTTCAGGATAGAAATCATCTTCTCTGTTAAGTTTTCTCAAAAAAATTTCCATAATAATTCGATATTTCATAAATTTGAAATCTTGATTTCATAAATTAAAGATGATGATGGCCTCACCTAACAGATGGGAAAAAGTGTTTAAGCGGGAGAGTAGCCTCTGATGGCTAAGCTATGCGCCACACATACTCTCATGCACTATTGGAGGGAGTATAAATTGGTACAAAGTTTTGTGAGGCAATTTGGCGATAACTATCAAAATTTTAAGTGTTCATATCTTTTGATTCTTAGGGACTATATAATTCAGGATTGAGTGTGAACTCTGGGTTAATTGTGTGAGCCTGGGCAAATCACTTAACCTTCTGTACCACAGTTTCCTTATTCAAAAAACAAATAATAATTGTATGGACATTCTAAGATTGCCGTAAAAATTAAACGAGAAAAACCATGTAAAGCATTATGCTCATAGCCCGGCACTGTAATAATTTCTTGAGATACCATGGATGCGTGCATATGTGCGTGTATGTATGTGTGTACATATAAGTGTATTACGATGTTCTTTCCAATGTTGTTTGTGATAGTAAAAGAATGGAACTCAACTACCATATTTGTTTGTGTATAAGGTACAGAGATATATATGACGCATCCCATTTTCAGAGTGCAATTTTTTAAATGATACTTTATCATAGTTATGTAAAGTTATTTTAAGTGAATGTTTTTTGGGAAAACAAGTTTTGTTCCTAGAAAACAGTATACTGTATCCTGGAATCATAAAAAAGTAATGTTCTAATCCAGCAAGGAATAAAATATGTAATCGCACAGATAAAATAAGTCTACTGTATCACTGAGTATTGGTATTGAATATTGAACTGTAGTAGTGATTTAACATAGGGAGAATAATACTTCTCCTCTGTCCAGATGTTTAGCTTGTTACCTTTTTTTTATAACTAACTACTAACTCACTCCAGGGTGTGATACCTGTATCTTTTCATTGATGTTTTGTGCTGTGGAGCTTTGCTATTAGGAGACATTTTATCTACCATTTTCTGTTTTGGGGTTTTGTGGGTTTTTTTGAGGAAGATTAGCCCTGAGCTAACATCTACTGCCAATCCTCCTCTTTGTGCTGAGGAAGACTGGCCCTGAGCTGACATCCGTGCCCATCTTCCTCCACTTTATATGTGGGATGCCTACCACAGCATGGTGTGCCAAGCGGTGCCATGTCCACACCCGGGATCCAAACCGGTGAACCCTGGGCCCTGAAGAGGAACATGCAAACTTAACCACTGCACCACCGGGTCAGCCCCCATTTTCTGTTTTTAGAGCTTCATATTCCGCCTGAAATAGGGATACATTTGAAACAGAATGAAATTTCAAAATGATTTTGGGCATTCATTATTGGGAGAAAAATAGTACATGTATAAAATGGAACATATATAGTTGTTAAAAGACATGAAGGCATACCTTATATATTGATACAGAAAGAATTCTGAAAGTATATTCACTTTTTTTGCATGAATCCTTTTTAATTCCATTATTCAAAAGTAATAGTGCTCATTATTAAAAGTTCAAATGAGGCTGGCCGAGTGGTGCAGCGGCACGTTCCGCTTCTCAGCGGCCCGTTCCGCTTCTCAGCGGCCCAGGGTTCGCCAGTTTGGATCCCGTGTATGGACATGGCACCGCTTGGCAAAAGCCATGCTGTGGTAGGCGTCCCACGTATAAGGTAGAGGAAGATGGGCATGGATGTTAGTTCAGGATCAGTCTTCCTCAGCAAAAAGAGGAGGATTGGCAGTAGTTAGCTCAGGACTAATCTTCCTCAAAAGAAAAAAAAAAGGGGGCCGGCCCCGTGGCTGAGTGGTTAAGTTCCCGCGCTCCGCTGCAGGCAGCCCAGTGTTTCGTTGGTTCGAATCCTGGACGCGGACATGACACTGCTCATCAAGCCACGCTGAGGCGGCGTCCCACATTCCACAACTAGAAGGACCCACAACTAAAAATATACAACTATGTACCAAGGGGCTTTGGGGAGAAAAAGGAAAAAAATAAATAAAATCTTAAAAAGTTCAAATGAGGGGCCGCCCAGTGGCGCAGCCGTTAAGTTCACACGTTCCACTTTGGCAGCCCGGGGTTCGCTGGTTCAGATCCCGGGTGCAGACATTTCACCAGTTGACAAGCCATGCTGTGGCAGGCATCCCATGTATAAAGCAGAGGAAGATGGTCACGGATGTTAGCTCAGAGCCAGTCTTCCTCAGCAAAAAGAGGAGGATTGGTGACAGATGTTAGCTCAGGGCTAATCTTCCTCAAGAAAAAAAAAAAACAGTTGAAATGATTTAGAAGTATGTAAAGAATAAGTAAAATTGTTCGTTTTTCTTCACACACTATGCCCCAGAAGTAACCACTGTCAACAGTTTGGTATTTCTTTTATCTATAACTAATCTCTGTATTCTATGACTTAATTTAAAGATATTTACTGAAAAAAGTGCAAAGTAGTGTGATGCCGTTTGTAATTTTTAAAGGATATGCATAAATTTATATATGTAAAAAAGAAAAAAGTATTTTCTAGAAATATGTAAGATAAACTGGAATTTTACTTTCACTTCGTGCTTCTGTTTGAATCTTTTACCATGAGCACATAACACTTTTATTTTTTAAAAATTAAAAAGGTAGGGGGCCGGCCCGGTGGTGCAGCGGTTAAGTTCGCACGTTCCGCTTCTCAGTGGCCCGGGGTTCGACGGTTCAGATCCCGGGTAGGGACATGGCACTGCTTGGCACACCATGCAGTGGTAGGCGTCCCACATATAAAGTAGAGGAAGATGGGCACGGATGTTAGCTCAGGGCCAGTCCTTCTCAGCAAAAAGAGGGGGATTGGCAGCAGTTCGCTCAGGGCTAATGTTCCTCAAAAAAAATAAAAATAAAAAGGTAAACATTGTTTTCAAAATTGAAAACGAATTTAAAAAGATGAGAATCCATTGTAATTGATTTGACCACTAGATGAGAGGCAGAGAATTTGTTGAAGGCTGTGACTTTAATTCATGATGTGTTTTTTGGTAAGTCCCTTTCATTTCTCAATTCATAAACTCAAGATAATATAACACAAAAGATAATCTTTGTAAAAACCTTTGAGGATTTTGGATGAATGATGACTGATGCAAGAGTATTACTCCCCAGAGAGTGTTTAAAGCAGTTTGGGAATCCAATACTCTACTTTCTCAAGGGGAAAATGGAATTTGGCCGTGGATTTTTTAGCTACTGACAGATCTGGTGGGGTGTGATATTTACCAACCAATTCAGAAGTCACAAAATGGGCTGTCACCTTTGTTCTCTGTGAGACCAAAGAAATTCAATCAACTGAACAAACAGGCCACTACAACAAATCCTCCCAAAGTTTCCTGTCTAGTTATTCTGAAATGTAAAGGGCTGTGTTCCTAAAGAGATAAAAACTCTGGAATTACCATTTTATTTCATGGCAATGAAAAATATCACAAGGCCCATTGTCATTGCTCATAAATAATATCAAAGCGTCATGAAGATATTTTGGCATTTTCCACTCCAGTTTTTTCTGTTCTTTAGTTTTCAAATAATTATGCAGACCCAGAATTAGCATTTTTACCAAAGTCTCTGATCTTGATTTCTCATAATGTTTGCATACTATTTTGCATTTTACAAAATGCATTCACATTTCTTGCCTCATTTGACTTAACTCATTTGAATAAAGTCCCTTCAAATGACTTCCCTTCTGGAAATGGCTCTTGAAGCTTCTCTTTAAAACCACTAAACTTTGCAGTCCATTGGGCTCAGTTTTGTTGTTCTGTAGAAAGTTTAGCATATGACATACAACTAGTAGTTAAGGTCCGTGAAGAAAGACTACGTGACAAATGGGAGACATGGGTAAGGCTCCGTGCTTCCCTTTTCCAATAGATCAAATAGACCTTTGACTTTCAAGTCCCATAAAAGGATGCCATAAATGCATTCCTAAGGGGGTGAGTGGGAGGAAAACCAGTCTCAGTGTAGCTTTTAATTCTGTAGTCATTCAACAAACTCTTCCTGAAGATGTTCTTTGCATACAGCCACGATGGGCTATGACATTGTTTTTCTCCATTTTAGGCAGGAAGAAGCTCCGACTGTTTGAATATCTTCATGAATCCTTGTATAATCCTGAGATGGCATCTTGTATTCAGTGGGTAGATAAAAACAGAGGCATCTTTCAGTTCATATCAAAAAACAAAGAAAAACTTGCCCAACTTTGGGGAAAAAGAAAAGGCAACCGGAAGACGATGACTTACCAGAAAATGGCCAGAGCACTAAGGAATTACGGAAGAACTGGGGAAATCACCAAAATCCGGAGAAAGCTAACTTACCAATTCAGTGAGGTCATTCTCCAAAGACTCTCTCCATCTTATTTCTTGGAAAAAGAGATCTTCTACTCACAGTATGTTCAACCTGATCAAGGATATCTCAGTTTAAATAACTGGAATGCAAATTATAATTATACATATGCCAATTACCCTGAGCTAAGTCACCCTGATTGCTAAATATACTCTTACATTTCATGATTTCCTGGCATCGGAAATCCCTACAAATTCCGGGATTTTTTTTCTTAAAGCAAATACTGAAGAGAAAAAAACCAGTTAACTTCATTGTTGCTATCTTTTATTAAATAGCATAATTTACACTAACTTGGTGAGATATTCTGCCAGTGAAAAATGATCAAGTCCCTTTTGAAAGTATAGACTAAGTGTCTTCGCTCTTGCTGTTGTCTATGCAATACTTTCTTCTAGATTAACAATGCCAGTAGAGATGATTTGGTTTGTATATTCATTTAAGTATTATTTTCCTGTCATAACACTCAGACAAAAAAAAAATCCCTCTAACGTATATCTGACGGCTTTAACAACATAACAAAAAATAATGGCATATGATAGTGTTCATGCTAAAATACATTCATGACTGTAAAAACTTCAGTGACAATCTATCTTGAACCCATGCACTTCAGACCTCATGGTCGGTGAGGCTGTGCTGCTAAAGAGACGATGGTCTAAGGAAAATGCCACTTACATTAATGATAATAAAAATCCAAAGCTTACACTTCCCACAAATCATTTTCTTGCATTTCTCTCTTCCTTAAGGTAGACCCAGAAGCTAACGTTTCTTGCTTTCCTGCCACTCAGCCACAGGGAGGTGCTTTCGCCCCATCATCTCCCTGGCCCAACCCTGTCACATGATCTCTTCCTTCTTCCCTTGAACTAGTCCAGCTGAGACCACACTGGAACAGTTGGAGGAAAAAAAAAAGGTCTTTAATAAAGGATAAAGACTAGCAAAGAATAAAACCAGAGAGGAACCAGGATTTAGGCAGTCTGGCTTGAAAGCTATGGTTTATCCTCAACATTCCATAAGGGACCCTGGGAAGAAACTCTTCACTTCTTACTTCCTGCTGGGCAGCTTCATGCATATGCCATCTATATTACCATGAAGCAGGAAAGCTTCCTAGACTACATGGCCATCTTCAGTTCTGGACAAGAAGGACTGGCCAGCAGGCCAAGATCTCCCTGATGTCTGCCCTATCAGATTTGCAGCATTCCCAGTCTGCCCTTTTCCTTTATCCTCTTGGTGCTCTTCCTTCCCCAGGGACTCTTTCTTTCTTTCTTTCTTTCTTTTTTTAAAGATTGGCACCTGAGCTAACACCTGTTGCCAATCTTTTTTTTTTCTTCTCCTCCCCAAAGCCCCCCAGTACATAGTTGTATATTCTAGTTGCAGGTCCTTCTAGTTGTGCTATGCGGAATGCCATCTCAGCATGGCCTGATGAGCGGTGCCATGTCTGCACCGAGGATCTGAACTGGCTAAACCCTGGGCTGCCATAGCAGGACAAGTGAACTTAACCACTCGACCATGGGGCCTGCCCCACCCAGGGACTCTTAGGAAAGAACATGGCAGACCCAGAGTGACTAAATGGAGGCTAACTTGATATAGGCCATCTCTGCATGTAGTCTGGGTTTCTGTTATAGCCGAATGTTTGTGTCCTCCCAAAATTCATATGTTGAAATGTAACTCCCAATGTGATGGTATTCGGAGATGGGGTCTTTGGCAGGTGATTAGGTCATGAGGGTGGATCACTCATGAATGGATTTAGTGTTATAAAAGAGATCCCAGAAAGCAACCTTTCCTCTTCCACCATGTGAGGATACTGGATGACAGCCTTCTGTGAACCAGGAAGAGCCCTCACCAGACCCGAATCGGCTGGCACCTTCATCTTCGACTTGCCAGCCTTGTGAACTGTGAGAAATAAATTGCTGTTTATAAGCCACTCAGGTTAGGGTATTCTGTTATATCAGTCCAAATGGTAAGATAGTTTTAATTAGTACTAACATCAAAGTAAAACTCAGCGTTCATACTCATTTTCCCACAAAGAAAGTATGCTTTAAAGAACATAAATTTTACCAAAGATTGTAAAGAGGAAATGGTGAAGAGGTTTCTAATATAAATCATTCAGCTAAAACCTTAACAAAATTCCATCAACATTTTACTTCTCCCCATATCCCTTCTATATTCAATGCCAGTTTAAGGGGTTCATCTTGACGGTTCTCCCAAAAGCCTCCATTCAACTCCAATTCTCTTACTGTTTTACAGAGTTGCTTCTTCTTGGGCAGAAACCTGGGTTTTGCCTTTTAGCCAAAATGTACCAACCAAAGCCCATGTTCACAAGCAAGTTATTCCTTATGAAAAGATATGCTTATACCAGCTGTTCAAAGACTAAAACCGTCTCCATGTACTATGGGAAATAATACTCTATTTCAGACAAGGTAGTAATACTTCCTGCCACTACCCAAGGACAAGGAAGAGAGATTTCTTAGCCTTTTCTCACGTCCCCTCATTCCCCAGTGTGTGGTATCCCTCCATCTCGTCCCTTTCATCTGGTCGAATGGCTCAGTTAAACTCTTCTCCCGTGAGTGGTTTGTTCTGAGAAGCAGATTTCATCCAGTCACAGTGCCCAATCATGGGTAGTTTCCCATTATTTGGTGTCTTAGCCCAGGTATTAAGCTTGAAGTCTTTCCTTCCAGGTACTCCTGTCAGCACCTCCTTTAAATCACAAGGTCTTCCTCTGTGCTCTGGTCCTGGAGCTTGTGGTCCTGGTTGGTTTATCCTCTTTTCTCCCTGTAGTTCTTCCTATTCATAAGACATAAGTAAGTGCCGAGAATGTTTTCCTTTTCCTCATCTCAGCCATTCTATGTAGGAAATGGGAAATATTCTACGGGGCAACCCTGCTCAAAGGCAACTCCTTTACTAAATTAAGGGAACAACCAAATGCATGAAGTGGATGTCAGCATTAATTATAATACATAAACCGGAAAACAGTTAAAATAATTTCCTTCTCTTCTACCCTTCCTTCCCTCTTTCTGCTAGCCTGTTCCAGGTAGAATACACCACGCTCTGGGTATCTGGTGCTAAGTGAAACAGATATGGTTCCTTCTGTCGTGAAGCTTCAATTCTATCAATATTTGATCATAGATTTATATATTCTATTACTATTTAACCAAAATTTACTTAATGGTCTACAGAGGAACAATTTGTTACTTGATCGAGAACATATAGATAGTAAAGTACGTAAAGCGCATTAATGTGGCAGCGTTGATTATATCTAAGCTTAACTGCAGATTGATGTACATACCCATATAATCATCATCCTGTTAAGATACATAACATTTCCAGAATCTCATAAGGTTGTCTTACTCCCCTTCGCAATCTATGCCCACATTGAATGTCACATACATGGAATTATACAGTATGTTCTCTTTTGCCACTGGTTTTACTTCCCTCAATATGTTAATGAAGTTTGTCAGCGTTGCTGTATGTACCAGGAGTTTATTCTTTTTCATTATTTTTCAGTTCCTGATTTTTAAAGGACTGTGAGAATTTTTTTACAGCCCTGAAATCTCTCCTTTAATCTCCAGACTTTATAAATATAAAATGAACCCTGAATATTCCCATACTCATGTGGATAGTATGACACTTTATTATCAAACATCATCCATGCCTATTTTCCAAAGAGCTGGAATGATTCTTGTATAGTCATATAACCACAATGTAGATTTATACTTAGATATTTTGGTTCATATATTTTCCCCCAACTCACATAATCTGGGTGGGATTTGATTTTGTATTTTGATGGTGTGAACTCTAATAATAAAGATACTAATGTAAAATAGATTTTAAAAAATTTACTTCTTTTCTTCTTTTTCATGGATTAATGAAAGTTAATGAAAACATTTTTTACAATTAAAATGAACCATACTTCTTCAAGTTTCCTACTGAGGAAACCCTGTGTTTGCCCTTACAGTATAGTGAACACTTACTTTGAATTTTTTTTTTTTTAAAGATTGGCACCTGGGCTAACAGCTGTTGCCAATCTTTTTTTTTTTTCCTGCTTTATCTCCCCAAACCCCGCCCCCCCATACACAGTTGTGTATCTTAGTTGCAGGTCCTTCTAGTTGTGGAATGTGGGACGCCACCTCAACGTGGCCTGACCAGTGGTGCCATGTCCACGCTCAGGATCGGAACCCTGGGCTGCCGCAGCGGAACTCGAGAACTTAACCACTCGGCCACGGAGTCAGCCCCCTTACTTTGAATTTGATGAATGGCTGCCTCTCTAATTTAGGCCTGGATGGATTTTAAGGTCAGTGGGTAGATAAAGAAAGGGGGCTTCAGGTAGGGATTGTGTGTACTTTTTCAGGCCAGAGCAGTGAGGCATCATGAATGTGTAAAATAGACTACTTCAAGAATTGTCTGCCAGGAGCAGCCCTGACTTACCAGACCGTGAACTTGTTTAGTAAAGGGCTGAAAGTGGAAGAAGAATCTAGATCATCTAGGTTTTTTCAGTAGTGAGCCACATGACCAGAAATCCAAATATGAAGGGCACATGAATATTTTGATGGTGATCTGATGAGTCAATAATTCATGCCAAAGAAGTAGATGTGGTTCAGATATGCGATATTTGCAAATTGTGCAAGAACAAAGCTTTGCACAATGTTTGGATCTGCTCTTACAGGTAATTTTATTCTCTACAGCTGTTAGAACTAGTGAAAATTCTCTTTGATAAGCAAACCCATCTAGGATTTGTAGTGGTGGATTAATCAACAAAAGGCCAGTGAGTTCATAAACAGTTTAAGTGAACAAACTGGATTTCCTATAATAAACATTTTATGATGTAGATGAACAAATAAAATTTTATATAACCAGCATGTTTAATGTAAGCAATTAAATTATAGCAAGTCATGTGGTGAAAGATCACAGTTACAAGTTCTGGAGTCAGAGTGGCATCTCTCAGAACGCTGTTTCTCATTAACTATTAGTAAAAGCAGGAGGATCAGTTAGGATGCTTTGGGCTTCAAGTAACAGAAAACCCTGACTCAAACTCATTTAAATGATAAGAAAATTGGTTATCTCACAGATCAAGAAGGCCAAAGGAAGAGTGAGCTACAACCATGACACATTATTGTTCTGGCTTCATTGTCTATGAGTCTTTTTTCCCCCTTCTTCCCATTGGTCTTATCCTCAGGCTCACTGGGAGTAAGACGACTCCTGTGGTTCCAGGCTACATCTTGACACAGGAATGTCCAGTCACAGAACTGGCTGGACATTTCTTCCCACTTCTCCTTTGTAGTCATGAGGAAACTTCCCAGAGCCTCTCAGTACATCTCTCCTCTTGTCCTATTGTCCATACTTGGGTCCCATGCTCTGCCCTAAATCAATCACTGGCAAGGGAAAAAGGACACTGTGACTGGCTCAGACCAAATAGAATTTGCTCCTAGAGGAAGGAAAGGGTCACAATCCCTTGAGTCACAGGAAAGAGGGATGAATACCTGAACAAAACTGGTGTTTTGCCTGAAAGGAGAGAGTAATAGATGTTGAGTAGGAAACCAAAAATGTTTGCTACAGTCCACTCCTTTGACTTCCCAATATCTCTACATACACTTAAAAAGTGTTCATGCCTTTATCAAAATTATCCACGTACTCCCTAAGTGGGGGTAACCCTAAGTCTCACCAAGTTAGTACATCCAAGTCCAGGATTGTTGGATAATGTAGTTTCAATACGTACTATTATTATTTAGACATGGTAGAGCCAATAGATCAGGAGATGACTGCCATCAAAGAGAGAATTTATTTTACTCACAGTCCTGAGAGAGGGAGTACACATCATGCCATCAGGGCCACATGGAGAAGCACTAGGGTCAGTCATGAGGCAAATGAGAGGGAGGAACTGTGGGCAAAAGACTTTATTGTGGTTTCTGCAGGAAGAAATGGATGAAGCAAGTAAGCAGGTTTAGGACTAGCTAGTTTGAATAATTTCAGCAGATTCTGGGGCAAAGGGGCTTTCCCTGCTTGCCTGGTACCTGGCCCTGGAGTGGTTAGAATGGGTGTATAGTGACCGAGTATGAGCACCCTATATGCAAGGTGGTTGGGGTGTAGATTCTGGATTGGTTGGTTTGTATTTAAAAATCACACCCCAGGAGGAGGACTCTTCCTGGAGGGGGATGGGGAAGGTGACAAGGGAAGCAGTTGGCTCAGGCAAGGTGACTCAGGTGTATTACCGGGTTCTCTAGAACAAGGTGTGTCTGGCATATGCATACAGGGAAGATGTCAAAGCATTGAGGTTAGAGAAGCTAGAAATGTGGTTAACACAAATGTTCAGTTGTCTCCTTTGATCCGTGACTGTTTGCTCTTCATGGTTCAGCGATGGACTACAATATAAAGTCTGATTGGGAAAGGGCAAGAGCAGAAAATGACTCCCAGTCACTTTTCCATAACACATACTTTATCCAACTGCACAGGAATGGTGAGAACCTGCCTGGGAGAGGAGTAAGCTCCTTAGTCAGTCAATCAGGCTGACCCTTTTGCCACTCTTTTCAGGAAATACCCTTTATCTTGTCCTTTATGATCCTTGGTTCTGCCTCTTGGGATAATCTCTTTGTTATTTTTTTCTAGGGGCATATCTGAAATAGGCATTTGAAAGATGTATTTTCTTAGAACTGAGCAGTGCTATGTTAATATGATTTCAGAAGTCTGAGATTGCCAATTCTACATTTTAGCATTTGCTGCTGGCAACACCCTACTTCCTGGTACTGAATTTTGGAGGAGTAAACTTTCTTGGTTGTAGCTAACTGAAGTCAGTGTTAACTCACTTAAGCATTCACCAGAATTTTTTGAAAGGGATTAGATTGCTTACAGAATTTCCGAGAAGGCTGGAGAATAAGCAACCAGACATAAAGCCCCAAATCACATCAAAGATCTGGCCAAGTGAGGATGTCACTGTCACCAATCACTAGATGCCTCAACTTATGTCATCTCACATGTTACTGAACAGAGCTAGCATAGCATCACTGCTGCCCCTAGAAACTATCTTGCTGCAACCGCCATTGCATTCAGAGATGATTGTCTATCATCCCTGCTTCTGTACCTCACTAACTGCCCATTCAAATTCTGAGAAGGGGATATCTGATTGGCTGAGGCTTGGTCATGTGCACATGTTTGGCTGCAAAGAAAGTTAAAAAAAAAAGTGATTATCTGGAACTTTCAATTCTTATACTGGGAGACTATTTATGCATCCTTTCAAGACTCATAAGGTCAAGAATTCCCCAAACATAGGAAGGGGTTCAGATGCTGGGCAGCCAAAAGAATGACAAAAGATCATTACATTTTTGAACCACAATAACAAGGATCAGAGCACGTATAGTTTAATTTTAAAGACCTTTGCCCCACCTGGCTAATCTCCAAAAATGCTCTTTGTTCTTCGTACTTCCGTGGTCATAGGAATTTAAATAGTCTATAAACAACTTTTCTTTATCTTTCTGAGAAGGAAATTTCAGCACAGTATTTAAATTCTCCAACTATCAAGTAAAATTGTAACTTATATTTCTATAATTGAAGTTAATCTAAGAAATGAAAGTGTATAAGTTTTAACTTTTACAATATGGAGACTTTATTCATATCTGTTTGCCTTTGTTCAGGAAGTTCTTATAATGTTCCAGTTTCATGGTTTAATTTACTTGGAATTAAGCTGGAAGAGCTCAAAATAATGTAATCAACCAGTTACAATTATAAAAGATAACTGATAGTGCCTCTTTTCCCGAGAGGATTTTCTGGTTGCCAGAGCTGCTCTGAGGACGTGAGGAGGACAATGGATGTGCTCAGGATTTCCTAATGGCCCCTTAGGAGCATCTCTCGATCAATGACAGATGGGAGGGAGATACTTACCTCTGTTTCTTCACCATTTAGCTGGAATAATTCTGAGACATGTTCTTAAACCTCCCGATTCCCCTAATGCTGTTTCCTGGAACCACCTCTGAAACTACTAACATTCACATTCTTGTCTCAATGTTGGCTTCTGGAGAAGGGGGAGGACCTAACACAAGTCATTATCTGAATCAAGTTACTTAGGACACTCTGTTGTATCAGTTATGAATGACAGCAGTGGACCAGCAGGTAGAGCTTACTGGAATACTAGTGTGTTTACTGCTCTCTCTCTCTCTTTCAGGCTCAGGCTACACTATGAGTCAGGGTAGGTGTTAACAGCCCTGCTTTATAGACGGAGAAACTGATGCTGGAAGAATTTGTGTATTTCTAAAGTCATCCAGCTAATGAATGTCCCATTGTCAATTTTTACTAGGTCCATCTAATTCTTTCTACTATGCCATACTGCCTGCTGATATATAGAGTATCTTAGGTATGCATTAATATGGGTTCTCTACCTGGGCCAATGCCAGATCTTCATAACATTATCATGTTGTAGAAAAGCCTTTGCTAAATTTATTCAGTGCTATCAATAAAAACCGTATACAAAATAACCCCCTACTCTCCATCACTGTTGGTGAGAATATGTATTAGTACAACTTTTGGAGGACAATGTGATGACATTAATCAAAGTTTTAAATCCACGTAATTAACATTAATGTATTTTTATTTTTATCAAGGAACTCATGTGTGGAATTCACACTTCAATTAGTTCTAAAATGCTTATAATGAAAAACAACAGTACCCTGCTCCAACCCTCTCCTCTTCCAGTCTTGCTCACCAGAGGCAACTACTTCAAACTCTTTTCGCTATTTCTTTGGTATCTATGACACATGTCTAAATAAGCACTAGTGCTGTTTCTTGGTTTCCCATCTTTAGATATTATCAGTTGACTTTGTCAGCCTGCCACTCTCCTGCACTGGTTCTCCACTTACAGGATATCAGGCTTCCTCTCATTTTGCTACGGCATATCTTCAAAGAGCTTCTTAATACAACTTCATAGCAGGTAAGTGTTTTTAGTACGTGTATGTGTAAAAATATCTTCATTTTATCCTCATATTTGATTTACAGTTTGGCTGGGTAGAGAATTCAAGGTTAAAAACCAGTTTCTTTCTGAATTTAGGAGGCATTTCTCCCTTGCCTTCTCACATTCACCATTTTTTGAGACATCAGATGCCCTTCAGATGGTGACTCCTTTTCTTTTGCTTTATGAAAGATTTTGGATCTTCTTATCCTGAGTAGTCTAAAATTTCTTGGTTTGTGCTCTGGCATGGGTATTTTTTAACATTTTGTGCTGGGCACTGAGTGGACATTTTAAAGCTGGAGACACACGCTTTTCAGTTCTAGGATATTTTTCTTATTATTTCTTTGATATCTTCCTGCCCAGTATTTTCTCTGTCTCTCATTTTGGAACTTCTGTTAGACCCCATGAACTGATCCTGTTAACTCTTATCATTTCTCTTCTCTTTTTCATCTCTGTATGTTCCACTTTCTGGAAGATATCCTTAACTTCATATTCCAATTCTTCAATTAAATTTTATTTTAGCTATTATATTGTAAATATCCAAATGTTTTACCTTGTTTTCTGATGTTTTCATTCTCATCATATCTTGTTTCTATTCTCTGGATGCATTATCCTCTTTATCTTTCTAAGGTTATTAAATACATTCATGTAGCTTTAAGTTTTCTCCATTCCCGGTATAATCTCCTTTCTTTCCAAGCTACCCCACCACCACCACTTTATTTTTTCCTATTTGCTTTTCCCTCTCTTTTATGTTTGTGACTTTCTTCAAATGTCTGATGATTCTTGTCTCTTCTCTAATGTGTAAGGCACTAAAAAGGATTCATGGGTAGAACTTGCTGACTTTGGGCTTCACTTTAAGATGATGTGGTTGGAAGCTGGCTATTTCTTTGGGAGCCCAAACATCATCCCCTGCAAAAGAATCTTCCTGAGAATAATACTCCTGGAGGGAGACTAGAGAAGGAAATGCCTGATTCTTGGGCTTCTCAGAGCAGGTTGAATAAGAGTCTTGGTATCCCACCATTCAGTAAGCAGATGTTCACTTAATATTAGTGTTTTCAGCTTCACACTTCACCTTACATTCCACGCCTAAGTTGGAACCATTCTGATCCAATTTCTCCACATAATAAGCCTATGATCTCCTATTAGATGGAGTAGTTACCTTTCTGGATAGAGGACCTGAAGATGCAACTGCTCAATTTAAAGACTTTCAACTAATCACCCTAATTTCAACCCTACGCTGCCCTCTGCTTTCCATGATACTTGGCGCCTCCAAATTCTGAACTTCTCAGGCAGATAAATCAGTAAACCAGCTTGGTTCATAAGTTTCCCCTTCTGTATTTACATGGATTGAAGTTTTCTCTTCTTGGCCAATCCCCTGCATGGATCATCTGTGGGTCTGTTTCTATTGTCTGTTTTTCCTTTTGGTCTGTCTGGTAATTTTAAATTAAATGACAGAAATTTAATATGAAAAATTACAGAGAGTCTGGATGATATTATTTCCACCAGAAAGGATTTATTTTAGCTTTGGTTAGAAGATAGATGAGGAAGACTATACTTTCAGGGATCATTTCTATACTTCACCACTAGAGAGGTTTCTCTGAACATGTAGAGGACCCAAAACCACAAGAAGGAGGCACAGCATTCTCTCCTGAGTGTGCAGCCAGCTCTTGGTGTTGCTTCTGCAACTGCTATTTGCTATTGACAATTGTTCTCTTCTTTGGGGAGAGTATGAGGGGAAAGACACTCTCTGAACGGTTTTTCTCATAAAAAATAAAAAAAGAAGATAGATTAGGAGCAAATCACCATAATCCAAGCAGGGACCATGCTAATTCAAAACTGGGTTTCAGTCTTTATAAGGAATAGCTTGTTTCATTTTTACACTACCTCCTAGGGTATAACCCTGCAAATATGTTATACTGAAAGTTAAAATTTTCACTTTAAAAAAAGTGTGTTGTATGATTTAAAAAAATAAATCAGATAATGAGAACCTTGTAAACTTATACTTTTCAAACTGCATGCATTCACCTCCCAGGAGTAAGAAGAAATGTACCATGTTGTGGCAATATGATGTTAAGCTATAGGATTAACATGTTGCTGCATTCTGGAGAATAAATTTTACTCATAGATAGGGACACTAAAAATCAATAGTTTTTCCTTAAAACAAATTTCCATGTATTAATGAGAGAATGCAGTATTTCCATGAATTCTTATGCTAAATCACAACATGATTTTTCACTTCTGGTGGAGTGTTTCAGTCTATGTACCCCAGGAGTCATTCTCTTTGAACTTTAGTGGAGAAGTTTGAGAAGCAGTGATTGCATCTAATCTGCTTTTTCCTCCTTCCTATTGCTCTGATGGCTAGGAAATTCAAAAGATCACATTACAGCCATTCAGTAATAATCAGTTCCATTAATTTCTTTATCCATTTTTATTTAAACACTTTCATTCATGATATTTTTACTTTGTTTTTATTTGTATTGAGCTCATAATAGTTTACATCATTGTGAAATTTCAGTTGTACATTTTTTCTTGTCCGTCACCACATAAGTGTTCCCCTTCACCTGCTGTGCCCACCCCTCCATCCCCCTTCCCCTGGTAACCACTGAACTGTTTTCTTAGTCCATGTGTTTGTTTACATTCTGTATATGAATGAAATCATATGGTGTTTGTCTTTCTCAGTCTGGCTTATTTCGCTTATCGTAATTCCCTCCAAGTCCATCCATGTTGTTGCAAGTAGAATGATTTTGTCTTTTTTTCTGGCTGAGTAGTATTCCCTCGTATATATATATATACCACATTTTCTTTATCCAATCATCAGCAGATGGGCACTGGGATTGCTTCCACGTCTTGGCTATTGTGAATAGTGCTGCAATGAACATAGGGGTACATGTGTTACTTTGGATTGTTGATTTCAAGTTGTTTGGGTAGATACCCAGTAGTGGAATAACTGGGTCATATGGTATTTCTATTTTTAGTTTTTTAAGGAATCTCCATACTGTTTTCATAGTGGCTGCATTGATTTGCATTCCCACCAGCAGTGTATGAGGGGTCCCTTTTCTCCACACCCTCTCCAACATTTGTTATTTTTAGTCTTAGTGATTATAGCCATTTTGGTGGGTGTTAGGTGGTATCTTAGTGTAGTTTTGATTTGCATTTCCCTGATGATTAGTGATGTTAAACATCTTTTCATGTGCTTATTGGCCATCTGTATATCTTCTTTGGAAAAATATCTGTTCAGATCCTCTGCCCGTTTTTTGATTGGACTGCTTGTTTTTTTGTTGTTCAGTTGTGTGAGTTCCTTATATATTATAGAGATTAACCCTTTGTCAGATATACGATTTGCAAATATTTTCTCCCAATTGGTTGGTTGTATTTTTGTTTGGATCCTAGTTTCTTTTGCCTTTCAGAGATCTTTAGTCTGATAAAGTCCCACTTGTTTATTTTTTCTTTTGTTTCCCTTGTCTGAGAAGACATGGTATTTGAAAAAACCCTTTTACGTTTGATGTCAAAGAGTGTACTACCTGTATTATCTTCCAGGAGTTTTGTAGTTTCAGGACTTACCTTCAAGTCTTTGATCTATTTGAGTTTATTTTTGTGTACTGTGTGAGATAATGGTCCATTTCCATTCTTTTGCAAGCGATTGTCCAGATTTCCCAACAACATTTATTGAAGACTATCTTTTCTCCATTGTATGTTCTTGGCACCTTTGTCGAAGATTAGCTGTCCAAAGACATGTGGTTTTATTTCTGGGCTTTCAGTTCTGTTCCATTGATCTGTGTGCCTGTTTTTGTACCAGTACCATGCTGTTTTGATTTAGTAATCGATGGCTTTGTAGAACATTTTGAAGTCAGGGACTGTGATGCCTACAGCTTTGTTCTTTTTTCTCAGGATTGCTTTAGCAATTCGGAGTCTTTGGTTGTCTCATATGAATTTTAGGATTCTTTGTTCTTTCCATGAAGAATGCCATTGGGATTCTAATTGGGATTGTATTGAATCTGTGGATTGCTTTGAGTAGTATGGACATTTTACTATGCTGAATAAGAGTGATAATAGTGGGCATCCTTGTCTTGTTCCTGTTCTCAGAGGGATGGCGTTCAGTTTTTCCCCATTGAATATGATGTTGGCTGTGGGTTTGTCATATATGGTCTTTATTATGGTGAGGTAATTTCCTTCTATCCCCATATTGTTAAGAGTTTTTATCTTAAATGGTTGTTGGATCTTGTCAAATGCTTTGTCTGCATCTATTGAGATGATCATGTAGTTTTTTTCCTCATCTTGTTAACGTGGTGTATCACATTGATTGATTTGCTGATGTTGAACCATCCCTATGTCCCTGATATAAATCCCACTTGATCATGATGTATGATCCTTTTGATGTATTGCTGAATTCCTGTTGCCAATATATTGTTGAGGATTTTTGCATCTACATTCATCAGTGATATTGGCCTGTAGTTTTCATTTTTTGTGTTGTCCTTGTCAGGCTTTGGCATCAGAGTGAGGATGGCCTTGTAGAATGTGTTAGGAAGTATTCCATTTTCTCTAAATTTTTGGAATAACTTGAAAAGGATAGGTATTAAATCCTCTCTGAAAGTTTGGTAGAATTCTCCAGGGAAGACTTCTGATCCTGGACTTTTATTTTTGGGGATGCTTTTGAATACTGTTTCAATCTCTTTCCTTTGATTGGTCTATTCAGATTATCTATTTCTTCCTAATTTAGCTTTGGGAGGTTGTTAAGAGTCTAAGAATTTATCCATTTCCTCTAGATTGTCCATTTTGTTGGCATATAGCTTTTCATAATATTCTCTTATAATTCTTTCTATTTCTGTGGTACCCATTATTATTTCTCCTCTTCCATTTATAACTTTATTTATCTTAGCTTTCTCTCTCTTTTCTAATTGTATGTCTAGCTGGGGGTTTGTCAATTTTGTTTATCTTGCCAAAGAACCAGCTCTTTGTTTCATTGATCCTTTCTACTGCCTTTTTTCTTTCAATTGCATTTATTTCTGCTCTGATTTTTATTATTTCTCTCCTTCTGCTGACTTTTGGCTTTGTTTGTTCTTCTTTTTCTAATTCAGTTATTTGTAGTTTGAGATTGCTTATTTGGAATTTTTCTGGTTTGTTAAGATGAGCCTGTTTTGCAATGAATTTCCCCTTATTACCACTTTTGCTGCATCCCAGGTGAGTTGGTATGGTATGTTTTCATTTCCATTTCTCTCCAGATGTTCTTTTTATTTCTCCTTAAATTTCTTCAATGATTCATTGGTTGTTCAATAGCATGTTGTTTAGTCCCCACATCTTTGTCCTTTTCTTGTAATTAATTTGTAGCTTCATAGCATTGTGATCACAAATGATGCTTATTATTTCAATCTTCTTAAATTTATTGAGGCTTGCCTTGTTTCCCAACATATGGTCTATCTTTGAGAATGTTCCGTGCACACTTGAGGAGAATGTGTATTCTGCTGTTTTGGGATGTAGTGTTCTATATATGTCTATTAAGTCCAACTGGTTTAGCTTTTCATTTAATTCCACTGTTTCCTTGCTGATTTTCTGCCTGGATGATCTATCCATAGATGTGAGTGGAGTGTTGAGGTCCCCTACTATTATTGCGTTATTATTAATATTGTCTTTTAGGTTTGTTAATAGTTGCTTTATGTACTTTGGTGCTCCTGTGTTGGGTGCACAGATATTTATAAGCATTATTTCTTGATGGAATGTCCCTTTGATCATTATATACTGTCACTCTTTGTCTCTGTTTACCTGTCTTATTTTGAAGTCTACTTTGCCTGATATAAGTATTGCAACACCTGCTTTCTTTTGTTGACCATTAGCTTGGAGTATTGTCTTCCATCCCTTCACCCTGAGCCTGTGTTTGCCATGGGAGCTGAGATGTGTTTCCTGAAGGCAGCATATTGTTGGGTCTTGTTCTTTAATCCATCTCACCACTCTGTGTCTTTTTGTTGGAGAATTCAATCCATTTACATTTAGGGTGATTATCAATATTTGAGGTCTTAATGCTGCCATTTTATCACTTGTTTTCTGGTTCTCCTGCATTTCTTTTGTTTCTCTTCCCATGTGTCTTGGTCTACCAATTGAGTTATGTGGTTTTTTATGTTGTGTTTCTTTGTTTTCTCCTTATTTATTATTTGTGTCTCTGTTCTGCTTTTTTGTTTAGTGGATACCATGGGGTTTGTATTCAAAATCTTGTAGGTAAGATAGTCCTTTCTCCAATGGCCTCTTATTTCCTTAGACTCAACCGATTCAGTCCATTTCCTCTTCTCCTCTCAAGTTGTTTTCCTCATATCTTATTTTGTCTTTTGTTGTGCATTTGTGGTTAAAATGGCAAGAGTATCTTTGTTTTTGGTATTTTCCTTCCCTTTATCTTTAATGGTATACCTAAGTATTTGCTAACCTGTTCTGATGTATTGCTACAATTTTCTGATTTTGTCTACCTGTTTATCTCCTTACTCCATGCTTTGTAACTCTTTTCTCCCCCTTTTTTGCCCCCCAAGTATGAGGGCCTTCTTGATGATTTCTTGTAGGGAGGTCTTGGGGCTATGAACTCCCTTAGCTTTTGTTTATCTGGGAAAGTTTTTATTTCTCCATCATATCTGAAGGATATTTTCGCTGGATAGAATATTCTTGGCTGAAAGTTTTTGTCCTTCAAAGATGTCATTCCAGTCTCTCCTAACCTGTATGTTTTCTGCAGAGAAATCTGCTGAAAGTCTGATGGGGTTCCTTTGTAGGTTATTTTCTTTT